CCAGGTTTCTTTCTCTAAACAGTCTCTCTCTTATCTGATTTGACCTAATACCTTGTACTATACGGTCTTTGATCAACGAGTTAGACAGTGGCCCATATTCACATGTTTTCACTTTATTCCGTAGATCAGTCAAGAAATTGTCGAAAGTTTCACCTTCTAGCTGTGTTCTTGAATTAAACACATGGCGTTCGAATGTCACATTCTTCTGGGGAGAACAGAATGCTTCAAATTTGCTTACCAGCGGATCATATTTATCTTTTTCTGCTTGTGTGAATGTGAAGGTTTGGTAAATTTCCACGGCTTCCTCGCCAATACAGTGGAGTAGCGTGGCGCACTGTAGGTCCTCGCCCTTTGACTTGAGATCTGTGGCCGTTCGATACCATTAGAATTGCTGCCGCCACTTTCTCCAGTTCTCAGCAACATTACCTTCTAATTTAAGAGGTTTAGGTGGACGGAGGCCTTTCATATTCGCAGTAATCAGCGACTTCTGACACCATGTAAACTATAAATAACTCAGACAAGATGGTGTCCGGTTGGAGAAGTGTCTTTATTGCGCATGTACCAAAAACGAATACATATAAATTACAAGTATAAACTGTAACTGGCGCTATAACACTATGACAGTACCTACACACGAATTGGTGACGTCACACAATACATTACCTTCAATCGGGGTCGTTTCCTCATAAGGTAAAACAAATCACGTGACAATATAATAACAGTAATAAACCCTAGCTTAACAGTTGAACAGAACGATCATATAGTCAGTCGGGTCACGCCAAAGGTCACGCACTTCGTTGCAAAATGGCCGTGTGGTTGAAACTGGGTCATGGCGTGACGGGCGAGAAAGACATCATTAAACACACAATAAAACGGGGAAGTGGTTGCATATTACGGCGTAGCACTGGCCACAGCCGGAACGCAACCCACTGTCACAGAGGGCGCTTCTTAGACATAGGTCACGTGACAATGTTCAAATGTCGGCTATAGAATTACGTATTTCCGATAGGCCAGCAAAACTGTTATTTTGAACACCATAGTCTTTGAAAATTTGAAATTTTCTGCCATATATAATGAAATCGAGTTCATATGTGCCAAATAGTGCGCTTGATTCGTGCCAGGAGTATTTTTAGAATCGCCACACATAATTTTTCCTCGTCGTTAGCGAGGGAAAAATGGGCCATCGGAGCGAGTTTTTATTATTCATAGTATCTTCGCATGTAGACGAAATAGCACGATAAATAAGATATCGTTAGAAAGCTGAATATGTCGACTTTAAGCTCAGTGATTTTTGCTCTGCTTATAACAAAATGCGACACTTCCGAATCTTCGAGAGTAAAATGGTGCCGTGCGTTCGGGCAAACCGTTAATTATTCGTAAATGGAGTCAATTTGTCTAGTTTTCTTGATTTATTCTGCGAATATAGGTAACATATAGGTAAGGCTTTGGCGAAATTTGAAAGAGCAACTAATATTCTTCAACCTGGTTATTTTTTTTATAGATTTTATTTTTCATTCTGTTAGTCTGTTTTTTTCCAGTTTAAAAAATATGAGCTGGCTTGGCTGGCTGGAGCCTTCATCCCTTGTCTATTTCTTACACTAGATACCAGCCGATACCCCCTTCCCGCTCATAGGGAGTGCGTACAGTTATTGATTATATATTTCCTGGGCTCCCTGATATATTGTATATATTGTTGCTACTTTACAGAACATGCCCATTCCTCAATCGTAATATGCGTTTCAGCCATGACATATATGCTAACATAATAATGCGGTCAGTAAATTGATCATAAAGCCAAACTTTTTAGAATTCATGATATCAAAAACTGAAATCACAAACCATCAGTATAATGTTATGATATAGCATGTGCATATAAATTGGGCTTTGTGATAAAGAATCCTATTTTTTCATACACTTTCAATGTATCCGTATGACAGAAGACTTATTGTTATTTCATTCTATTTTACAGCAATTCCACGCCTGATTTGACGCTGAAGTAGTGCTAGATGTTGATAACTTACTACAGTACGTTACACACTTTGTTTTCAAATTTACAGAAGTTGTAACTAGAAATTTAAACATTGACTGCAAATCAGAGGAATGATTGACAGATATTGCCCACAATGTTTTCTATTTTTGTTACAAAGTCAGGTACACCTAGACTTTGAGGCGCGTATGTCTTTCATTCGCTTTTGGTCGGTCATCGTGTTTGCGTCTACAAATCGGCATTCGTCCAAGTTGTTTAAGCACCACGATGGAGAAGCAAGGAGTCAAAAAACCAGTTGAAGTGAGAACAAGAGTTGTCGATTTGTATTTCCGTGGACTGTCATTTGCTGAGATTAGAGATCGAAATGGTGTTTCAGAGCAGACAGCTTATATTATCGTCAAACTGTTTGTTACCACCGAGAGTATCCTGCCAGGAATCTGACAACGTTATAGACTATGTCGAATATTATAAAACATTGCACCACGCATTTACGGACGGGAAATTCGACAAAAACTACTTGTGTACGGCGGCAACCCTCCCCGACGTGTGATCGTGTGTTGCCAGAGTGATAAGCTTTTTAAAGCGATTATTTGGTGGCACATCAACCTTTTGGTTCTCATTGTCGAGAACTAATCATCGAATAACACCCATTCTACTTACGTATTCAATTTCATTATTGATATACTGGATGCAGTCTTTATAGGACGTTTGTTGCAGGCAGTTTTCAGTTATATACATCGACGTGATACGGATATTTCCATAGTAATAGTGAATGC